AGACAGGGTGTGATGGACTGACCCCCAACTCCCATTCCCCATCCCCCCTGTGCTGCTGGTGGGGAGGAGGGAGAGAAATGGGGAGCAAAGCTGAGCCCATGAAGAAGGGAGCAGTGGGGGGAAAGTATTTTAAGATTTTGTTTTAGATCTCTTTCTATTCTGATTTTGACTGATGATAAATTAAATTAATCTTTTCACCAAGCTGAGTCTGTTTTGCCTGTGACAGTAATTGCTGAATGATCTCTCCCTGTCCTTATCTTGAGCTGCAAAAGCCTTTCACCGTATTCCCTCTCTCCTGTCCAGCTGAGGAGGGGAGTGATAGCAGGGCTCGGTGGGCACCTGGCGCCAGCCAGGGCCAACCCACCACAAAACTCTTCCCAACTACTGCAATATTTAACACCACAGAAAAATCTAACTCTATCGGAAATACGAGAGAACCATGGTCATTCATTGGCTCTCCCACAGCAGAATTCAGAGCATACCTGCCCATGTACATAAACGCGCAAGTCTGCACACTCTTCCTTAGCGGGGGGAAGTGCAATACCATATTCTCTTACCAGTGTGCTTGCTAACAGACAGCTTCCCATAACAACCCATAATATTTTGACTGACCATCACATCATCTCATCTAGCAACAGAAAGAAGGAAACTTCTGAAACAACTGCCTGACAGTCCTGCCTGTTCCATCACAGCAGATTTGTGAAGTATAAAAGACTTTTTCCTGCTAGAGACAGATTGGTTTAACCCTCCCCTCCTTCACAACGTGCAAGGGATTTATTTCTTTTATCCATTCAAAATAAATCCTATCTTGCACATATCTGAACTAATGTTGTTTAGTACTTGAATTCAGAGACAGATATAGGATAGGCTCAAAGAAAATCTAGTAATCACTGAACTATAACCACCTTGCAGCTAAAATTCACAGAACTAATCAAATGTATAAGCGACAACACAGAAACTAATCCAGTACCCTGGATTAGGTAAAAAACAACATACAAAGACAACTGTACAGCAAATCTCTTCTAGGAACAATCTGTAAAAGAGAAATCTGATTAAAAGGAAACTTAGGCAAATAATGCAAATGATCCAATGTTTATAAGCCTGGAGGCTAAAGTTGCTATCTATAGAGCAAAACTTACAAGGGCAGAATATAGTCCTGGCTGCTCACGCTACACTTTATGTGTCAGTCTGCACATGGAAGGTATCACAAAGAACAGTCAAAAAAAGGTGTCATTTAAAATTCCTAATTACTTGCTAAGTTACTGATGCAAGAAAAATAAAATTATGTAGCTGAAGTTTGCACTGATAGAACTAGATAAATTATAAAATACTTTCAGTGTTTTTAATATAGTGAACCACATTTGAGAGACACAGATAGGAACCCAGATGCTCTTAATCAATAAACTAGATCCTCCAGTTCTACTCGTTTAAGAACACCTAATAGGCAGTTTCAAAATCAATTTAGAAGAAAATCAACCAAGAGTCAGATCTGTCTTCTGATTGTTTCCAGGTATTTTCAGCAGAGCTGTACTGCCCTACTAGAGTCTGTGCCCAAGAAATTCACAGAAGCTGGATGTCTAGGTGCCTTGGAGAATTTGAATAGGCCCTTTCTGGCATCTTGACACCTTATACCTTTTAAGGTATTCCCAATGACCTTCAAACTTTACAGATCTGGATTTTAGAATGAACGTACCTGTGTGGGATCGGAGGTGCACAGTTAGCTGGCTAGAGTTGCGGCTTGCGTAAGAGCAGATCTGGCATTTAAAAGGACGCTCGTTGGAGTGAATGCGCTGGTGCTTGTTGAGACTGCTGCTGTCAGCAGCTGCATAGTCACAGTGTTTACATTTGTAGGGCTTCACCCCCGTATGAGAACGCATGTGCATCTTCAGCTTATCTTTACGACTAAAACATTTGTTACAAACTTCACATTTATGGGGCTTGTCTCCTGAAACACACAGAAGAGCATCAACACATCAAGAATTTTTGCACCATAAGGATGTTGTTGAAATAAAAAAAAAAGACACACTAAACACTAAAAACTAGAAAAGAGGCTAGTTTTCAAAAGCTGGATGTTGGATTCCAGCAGCCTATCCCTAAGGACTCTGCTGTGCTCCAGAAGGCTGCATGCACAAGTGCAACAAACTTAGAAGACCCTTTGGAACTTTGTCTCTATACAACTTTGAAACTGGGGTTTAGGGAGAAGGGAGGTGAAACATTGGAAGCATTGTTTCATATGAACAATAAACTAGGTTTATGCACCACCACCACACTGCACCCTGATAAACACATGGTCTGCACCTCAGAAATTTAAATGTGCCTTAAATCAATGTAACATGTTCATGTTTCACAGCTGCCAGTGCCCATAGTGGGACACAGCTTACCCAAAAAGGGCAACTCCCGGGGCACAGAGAACAACAATACTAGAATGTACAGGCATACATGGACATTCTATCTAATTCATCTACAGATATGTTATTTTGTAGGAAAATAACTTTTGGCAAAAGGCCAAAAGGAAGAAAACAACTGACAATAAAAAATCACAACTATATAAACCTGTGTGTGTTCGTAGATGACGTTCCATGTCCTTCATACCATAGGAAGTCTTGAATTGGCAACCTGAAAATTATAAGATTAATATTAAATTCAAGGAAAATCTAGCAAAATAATAAATATATTGCCATATTCTGGGTATTAATGTTTTCTGCAAGAACATTTTCTTAAAAACTCAGTATTAACAGAAAACGCATTCCCCGTCTTGTTTATCCACATCTCCTTAAAACGGTGACCGGCTCACCTATGCACTTCAGTTTTCTAACGCTTCCCCCCCAAGAAGGCAGCTCACTACCGTTTTCTGTAAGATTTGAAACAAATCCTGCGGAATCTCTGCCTAGGATTTGAGATGCTCTTTACAGTACACACAGAATGCTGGGGGAACTAATTAATTCCACGCATGACAACGTTAGTGCAACTGGGAACTCAGGTAACAGCTCACCATTCAGGAATTCCATCCAAGTGGAAAGTGCTACAGCTTTAGAGCACAGAAATGAACGCTAAGCATTTGCAACATGCCTTTCAGATGAAGGCAAGCTTGTGAAAAAAGACTGTAACTTCTGCTACCATTAACATGACTACTCATCTACATGGCTGTTTTCTTGCACCTTTTCCGCATATCACATGGTTTTTACTCATTAAAGTCTCCAAATTCTTTGGTTCAATCCATCCTTATAAAAATGCCAACTGAGCAAAGACAAAGCACACAATGCAAAATGCACGTACAACAACGGCAGTTTGCAAAAAGGTAACAAGACTCTGCTCTTACATGGCTACGGGTGTGGGCACAGGCCGGTATCTATGCACAAACCCACTGCGGCATCGCCAGAGCACACCACAGTATAGGGCCAAAGTCTGAGGAGAAGTGAAATCACTAGCAAAACCACTACTGGTATCACAGGTAGTCCATCACACCCTTAGGCAGGCTGCCTTCCAGGTTCTGCGTCTCTTAACTGCTTAAAACAGAGCTACCGTTCGTGTCACCGTAAGAAAACTCTCACTTTTAAAATGAAAAGAAGGTGTAGTCCACATCTTACCTGGATGGCAGCAGTTTAGTTTCTTCTGTGTAAGTGAGGAAGTGGATTTTTTTGAACGTGCTTTTGGTGGCGTAGAGACGATAGCAGCAGTTGGAGGCTCACTGGTCTCACTGGGCAGGTATGTTTGATAGCCATGCTCAAAAACAAACTCTGGTGCAGAAACTAAACACATAAAAGAGCTCAATTTAAGAACATTAGAAAATAATTACATTTTTCTGATTGGAGAAGTTAGCTTCATTAATTACTTCTCTATTCTGTTTTTTTTCCAGCAAAATTCCTGTTTCTGGCTTCCTATTCACCCAGGGAAGGTGGAAAGGAGAAAAAGGCTTTTTTCTGCCTTGCTATCATGCCATCAGTGAAAATTCTGTCAAGACCCGAAAAGCCATGCTGGACTCAGTACAACCCTATATAGGCCTACCTGTCGCCTTCTAAATCCTCTCTGACTGCAATGTTCAGTTTCCCTAGAAGTTCATTTTCTTCTGACGCCTACCCAGGTCTTACATTAACGAAGGTATGTTTGGTTTTCAACTCTGGCTATGCTACAGCCTAAAGGGGAAAAAAACACCAACTATTTATATGACAAATGTTGTGAAAAAACATTTTATTGTTAAAAATGTTCTGCTTCTTTCAACTATACTGTTTTTAGCTATTACTTACAAGAATAACAGGTGAAACCATCTCAGCCAAAGTAGCAGCTTTTAAATGAATCAAACAACTCTATACCCCAAAAGGACACCGGGATATAACTGCCCTCATTTTAAATATGAGTAAATATGAAGCAGAAAAATTACTTATCCAAAATCCACACCGAATTGGGGGATTATAATACAAAAATTCCTGGAAGTGAGCCTTGAATTCAGTTTGCTTCAGTGCTCTTCCAGATTCTCTGCTGTAATCTGTCTCCTCTAATTAAAGTCAAATATCTTGGATTTAGTAAAGTCCCAGACCCAAATGAAATAAACTAAATATAGAAGGGCAAACCTTCACACACGGAACAAAATTCTAGTTTTATTTAAATGTCTGCAGGATGAGGACCTCACTTGAGCCTTCGCAGAGGCAGAAATTTTGAGTAATATTTTTCCTGCCAATTAGTTGTGGGAGCAATGTTAGGGAATGCAGCATTCTCACATAAAAAGGCCTGGATTGGCGCCCGACAGCAATTCTGTGTCTGTTTTCCATCAAGAGCACTCTTAAAAAATAAAATGCATAGTAATTTGATTATTCTTCCTAAGTATCAACAATTTTAATCAGTTTGCACAAGTTGGTTATACAACACATTACAGTTAAGCAATTCTCTAAGTGAATTTGCTAACTGAAATGCAAGTGAAGTAACTGCTGTCATACCAAAACCAAGAAGGCAGCACACCCTTTCCTTCCTTTGCTCGCAGGTATGTGACAACTAACGTGAAAACTGTTAGTTCAGCTTAGCGTGATGGGGACACAGGCACAGAGAGCCACGTAATCTTGCCACTGTGCACAAGTCGAGTGCTTTTCAAGCTCCTGGTGCGTAACACCAAAAATACCTGTGATGGTTTGTGTCTCCGACGCGATGGTCCTGGCTGTGGTTTGTGCCTGTGTTGATGGCACCGTTTCTTCGGACACAAACTGGACCGTACTGGTGGCCCCGGCCGTCGCACTAGTGAGCTGGCAACCACTTTGCTTGTGCCCAACAAAGGCATCGAGGTTATTGAACTGCTGCTTGCAGATGCCACAGATGTGGATGTCGGGGGTGAGCTCCACCAGCACAGTGGTGCCGCCGGGAACTACGGAAAGAGGGGCACGGTCCTGAGAAACGGGTGAAGCCGCTCAAACGCACACACGCACATCCCGCTGACCAAACTCCCGGGCAGCTGGGGGGCCCCTGCGGCCTGGCCCTGCCTAGCGCTGCGGGGGTGCATTAGGGCAGCGCGGGACCCCGGACGGGGCTGCGGGAGAACGGGCCGCCCGTGCCCTCAGGCACGTT